AATCCTGTGGCATCCTTACAAGTAGTACTACATTTAAGTGCACCATTGTCGCCACTGTGTCCATCCATCTCATTCAGTGTCTCCCCTCCTTTCCTTTTTACCCCGGTCCTCTATTTTACCAAGAATGATGTCTTTCCTTTGCCAATGATTGGTCCTTCCTGATAATAACATAACCAAATTTGGCTGTACTGTTTGTAAGACATACATGTTTGTTCACCTAGAAGTCCATGGTATAGTCAATATTTTTTGCCAGTATCATAATTCAAATGCATTCATTCTTCTTTGGTCTTCCTTATTGTCTAGCTTTCATGTACATATGAGATTGACTGAATTCTAAACCTCTGTTCTGTTCAAATGACTACCTTTTGATCTATGTATAGATCTGGCATGAGCACAATTAAGTGCCCTGGAACACTTGAGACCAAAAAGTGACATCTGTACTTTTTCGTATTTTAGGTTAGGTACACCATAAACTTCGAAATGACATCCTAACTCTTTAGCACTTGAAAGAGGCCCTTTGAAGCATATCTGCCCGTTACAACATTACATTTGAGTTCCTGACTCCTGCTTTCATGAAGACTGATTGGAGATCCAAGCAAAACGAAATCCTAATGACCTCAATCTTTCTGTTTATCATGACATTGCTTATTTGTCCAGTTGTGAGGATCCTGTCTTCTTGATGTTGAGGTACAATTCGTATTGAAAAGCTTTAAACTTTGATCTTCCTCATTAATTGCTTCAAATCCTCTAATCCTCTTCACTTTTATCAAGGCTATGTCATCTGAATAAATGCAGGTTGTTGTTGAGTCTTCTTTCAGTATTGAAGCTACATTTTTCTTCATGTAGTTTAGCTTCTTGGGTTATTTTGCTCAGCATACACATTGAATAGGTGTGTGGCTAAACAATGTAACTCTGACATGCACTCTTCCTGATTTTAAACCCCACAGTAGCCTCCTGTTCTGTTCAAATGACTGCCTTTTGGTCTATGTACAGATTTGGTAGAAATGCAATTAAATATATGGAATTCTCATTCTTAACAATGTTACGAATTATTTGTCATGATCCGTAGAGTCAAGTGTCTCCACTTAGTCAATAAAAGTCAAGTAACATCTTTCTGGTACTGTCTACTTTCAGTCAAGATACATCTGATTATCAGCAATGATGTCCCTTGTTCTATGTTTTAGTTATTCAATGCTGTTCTGGTAGCCTATGGAAAGCAGTTGTGCTGATAACCCAAAGGTAGGTTGTTCCAATATACCAGTTGCTCCACAGCAGTAAAATGGGCAATCTACTCCAATGTAATTTACTGCCTTTGAAAGCTCACTGGAGGGTCAGCTATGAGTCAATTCTGATTTGACCATACACAACAACGGCATCACAACAGTAAAAATGTTATAAATCGTAGTCAACATGATGGTACCTAACAACAACAATATAGTCCCAGAAGATGAGTTCTTTCTGTTGAAAGGTGCTCAGAATACAAGTAGGGAAGAGTGCATTTCCACTTCATATATGCTGTCAGAGAATCTGTATTTGAACAAAATCCAAAGGTAATTGTTAAGAGATTCTGGTTCCGTTTACAAGAGATTGAAATGAAAATTCTTAGCTAAGGATCTGCCTGGAATGAAACACTTCAGAGCCCTGTATTATTCTTTTGGTCTATTTCAATGATTTATGTTAATATCTTTCCCTTTGCTTGTGCGCGTGCGTGCGTGCGTGCGTGTGTGTGTGTGTGTGTGTGTGTTGGTTTCCTAGTCTCTCTAGGTAGAATCTGAAGCCACTGAATTTGTATCTGATTTACATTCCATCCAGTAGCATATGGATTTCAATTTTCTCCATATCCTTGGCACCATCACCTTTACATTCCCAAGATATTTTTTGCTGAGTGTGTAATTCTAGACTGACATGTTCTTGTTTCATTCTTCCAGTTATGGAGTTTATCTTTCAAAATTACTTTTCCTAGCCATTATTTGATTTTGCTGTGTCAATGGGGAGGAATATGTGAATGTGCGTGTTAGTCTTATCTACAAGGGGACTGGCTGTCTACCAATCCACAAGGGAATTGGCCAGTCTAACAGCTACAAGAGGATTAGCCAGTCTCACCATTGAATTGAGCAAGCTGGCAGCAAGAGGCAAACACATCTTCTGGCAGCACTGAACAAGAAGAAAGAGAATGTAGGATGTCCTTCTTGCTCCAGCTACACCTATAGTAGCAAAACTTATGATCAAAAACTCTGGAGACTGGACATGAGATGGGATAATGAGAAGGGGGTGGGAGAGCCAATACTAGCATGATTGAGAACTCTGTTGGACAACTAAAGATAGGAAGCCAATATTGGCAGGAATGAGAACTTGGGAACACTGGCCTGGAGCCACGAGACTCAGGACTGAGGTGCCAGTGTGCACATTTCAGGAACTGTCTTGATTGTCTTCTGCTATTATTAATCTGGATTATAACCTTTGACTTCCCCAATATGCTTCTGTATGGTTTGTGAGCTATGGCATTGGATTTTTTACCTAGCAATGCAGTATTTTCAATACCTCAAACCCCTTTCCAATTACTTGCTATGCATCTGAGAGCTGGACAATGAATAAGGATTACAGAAGAATTGATGCCTTTGAGATGTGGTTTTGGAGAAGAGCACTAAACATCTAATAGATGGCCAAAAGAACAAATATGTCTTGGAGAGGGTGCAACCAAAGTGTTCTTTGGAGGCAAGAGTAATGAGGCTTCACCTAACATACTTTGAGCAAGTTGCTAGGAGATGCTATTCCTTGGACAGGATCATATGTTTGGGAGCATAGAAAATAGGTGAAGAAGAGGATAATCTTCAACTAGGTAGAATGACACAGTAACTGTTGCAATGGGCTGTAGTGTGTCAGGAAGTGTGAAGATGGTGCAGTATATAGGACAGGGTTCAGATCTGTTGTACATAGGGTCGCTATAAGTCATACTTGATTCA